TATTTCAAAGAAGTTTGGTTAACTACTCCAAAATAGTGTTATTTAACCAAAACTTTAGTTAGCGATAAAAGTTATCTCTAAAAATAACCAAAACTTTGGTTAAATTTCGCGATTCGCAGCTATTTTTCGAGAAATAACCAAAACTTTGGTTATTTTTAGAGATAACTTTTACCGCTAACTTTCGCGCAGTGAAGCAAATGAGAATCGGAATTTTTGCAAAAGCGATTTGTTTAGAAAGCCATGGCGGGGGTGGAAGATTTTTCATTCCTTTCTGCGAAAGGAAATTCTTCTTCCTAAAAACGAACCCAGATGCTCGTTCTTTATGTTTCAAAATACGTTCGTATCGTTTTCGTTCATCTGAGACCGTTCTCCATGGTTCACTTTCGTCAAGCATAATAATCTGATTATCGTGGAATTGTTTAATGTTATTCATAATTAAGCAGAATTTACATTTCATTCCTTGTTTATACTTCGAGTTGAGCTGCTGCATGAGATGACAAAGACAAGAGCAAGTGGGTGAATGTTGAATGTAAGAAAGAAAAGCAACCGTAAAAATGGTCGAGAACAAATGTTGAATAGGCCAAAGCTCCTTTTCGTAGAGATTAGTGATTATTTTGTCGAATGATTTGCCTGGCAACAACAGAGACCCAATTTTCTTCAAATGATACTTGAAGCATCTTTGTGAAGAGTGAAGGAATGCTACCCAGGGAAAAATACTTAATAGAAAGACGAACATAAATCTCATGACAATTATTTCGCATTGTCCCTTCTTATTTCGATAGACATTTGTATACTATCTGGCTTAAGAAAGCAAACCGTACATTAATGTTGAAGAAGGAAATTCGAATTAGGGCGATTGTTCAATTGATTTGAACATCAAAGGGTCGCAACGCTATGACAATGTTTAGGTGAGTGCGAGGATATCTTCAACCTTTCAACTTCATGATGTATGCTTGCTTCACAAAAACGTATTTGAGCGTGTAAAGGGGAGCCCATGAAGCATCTTGAAAAGAAAATTTATAGTTAGAAAATATTTATGGCTTCGACTATCAAGTATGAAAGTTCGAACCGAGATGTTTACCTTTTTCTTCATGCATTTATTGCCTGCGAAATATTTTCTTCCCATCTCGGAAACATTTTCATCCTTTTCTCTTTCATTTTTATTGAAAACATTTCCTGAGAAGGGGTCAAATTCGATAACGTTCACACTTTAGTTCATGCATCGCAAATGGAAAATTGTTTTCATTTCCTTCAGATTCAACTCACACCACACACGCATAAGTTTGCAGAACTTTTTCTTGTTTTCTATTCAATCAAACGATGTGTTTTATTATTCTGTTTTTTCAGTGATAAACATTGTCAATGCTTTTATTTATGGAGCTTTTATTTTGACGTGGCAAGAATGAAAGGGGAGAGCGAGTTTATGTATCATGAAACATAAAGTAAATAAATCTCCTCGTTTAAAGAACTGATGCTCATGCATGTGTAGATTGTATTCAAAACATTTCACCGGGAAAAATAAATTATTTTCTTCCAGACAATTTTCCTCTCAATTCACCCCCTCGCCCTTTTTTTTGTGTTTTCAAATCTAACATTGTTTGTTTGGGTTCACTCTTGAATATGATGCTGAATTATGTTGAATAAATAATGTGATATTTATTGCCGACATAAGAAAATTTTAGGCTTTCCCATTTCAATTTTATTTTAAAGTAGAGCTTTTTTATGTTTTTCTTTAATATCCTATCGTTTCTCTCTCCATTTAAAGATGTATTCGTTAGTCATGATGAAAAATTCCCTCTCGACTTAACAAACCAGTACAGACTGGTTTTGGAATGTTGTAAAAATTTGTTAAATGAAAAATGTTTTTCAAACAATTTGTGCTGTTTAATGTTGTCGAGAGAAGGAGATGGAGATGATGATGAGGAAGTGAACAGATAGATCCATTTGTTGTAGACCTGTAAAACTGACTTTTCCTATTTAACTTACAAAGTTTCTATGTGAAAAGCATAAAGAACACATTGTAATATTTTTTTTGTTTCGTTTACTTCCGTTCTCCCCACGTTATAAGAGCAGAAATCGCGGAGAATGTGAAAAAGAACAAACAAAGAAATGCCAGACATTTTAAACAATTTGCATGTTTCTTTCCTTTGCTCGTTTTGTGGAAATAAAAAGATGAAATATTTATGAGAATCTCTCTACCTTTTATGGGTAGAACCGAGAACGTTAAAGTATGTGTAATGTATCACTGAATCATACTACCTTTCACGTAATAGTTTTGAATGAAACGCATCTCACGAAAAATGAAGTTAAATTCTTTAACCTTCCCGACTATGAATCTTATCATTCCACCAGAGAAAAAAAGGGAGGTGGAGTATCTATTTTTGTTCTGAAAAATTTTTCAGAAGCAAATGAAATAATTAATTGTGAATTTGAACATAGTAATTTTCTTTTAATCAATCTCAGCAAAGTCAATCTGAACGTTTTGGGTTTTTATAGACCACCAAATTCTAATGCAGCAAATTTTTTAGTAAAACTTGATGGAATTCTAGAATGTCATAATAATTTAATTTGCTGCGGTGATTCAAATTTAAACCTATATTCTTGTGAACCAAAAGTAAAGAATTACCAAAACATAATTGAAGCCAATGGTTTAAAAATAATAAATTCGTTATCTCAAGACATGTATACAAGACACGATCTTGTTCATAAAACAAATTCATGCATCGATCACATTTTCACCGACACAACTCAAACACACAATTTCTCTCTTTTCTTGGATAACATTTTGCAGGTAGATCATCGTGCGTTACTTTTAATGATTCATAATAAATATACACCAAATCTCCGATCAACCTCTAAACATATTACGATAAACACCATCAGTCATGAGAATATTTTACAATCAAAAATTTTCTCTACAGCGCCTACTGACTCCTTTAATAATTTCTTTGATTTCATTAAAAATACCATCATAGAGAACACAAGTACAAAATCATTTAAAGAAAGATTTAGACGTCCTTTTATGAACTCAGATATTTTCAACTACATGCGTATCCGTGATAATTATTTCAAACTTTCACGAAAATTCCCGCAAGATGATGTTATTCTATTACGATATAAAAAATACAGAAATATTGTAACTTCCCTCATACGCAAAACGAAACGCTTAAAAAATGACAAATACTTTAATGATAACATTAATGATTCGAAAAAAGTTTGGAAACGGATTAACTGTTTAGTTACTAATTCGGACTCAAAAAGCACAAAATTTATCCCTAAGCTTAAAGTTGATAACAATATTATTACAAATCGCTTTCAAGTTGCTGATGAGTTTAATAAATATTTTGTTCAAGTTTCAAAGAAAATTAAAGACAATATTTCTTCAAATCACATGCAGGGAAAACAACTTCAAAAGCTTGATAATTACAATATATCTCAAGCTTTCACTTTTCCCGAAAGCTCTCAAAATGAAATTTTCAACATAATTTCTAAGCTTAAAAATTCAAATGCACTTGATATTTATGGCATATCCAACAATTTTTTGAAGACTCATAAAAAAGAATTATCAATGCCCATTTCAATATTGATTAACAACTGTATCAAAAACGGAATATTTCCTTTATCTTTAAAAAAAGCTTTAGTATTACCACTTTTCAAGGAAAATGACAAACAAGCTCCCTCTAATTATCGTCCCATCGCGATTCTCCCAATTGTTTCAAAAGTCTTTGAATCAATTTTTCTCGATCGTCTTCTTCAACACCTTAACAATAATAAAATACTTAATGATTATCAGTTCGGTTTTATCGCTAATTCGAACACTGAAACTGCTGCTTTACATCTTCTAAGCAATATCTATAATTTTATCGAAGCAAAAAAAATTACAGCATGCGTTTTCATTGATTTGAAGAAAGCTTTCGATTGTGTTGATCACTTAATTCTCTTGGAACAATTTAAGCTTCTGATTCCTCCAAAAAACATTGAAAATCTTTTTAAATCTTATCTCTCATGTCGACAACAATGTGTTATTGTCGATGGCTGCAGGAGTGGCTTTTTAAAGATAAGTTCGGGAGTTTTCCAGGGATCTATATTGGGCCCTATACTTTTTGCCTTTTATATAAATAGTGTCTTTAAATTAAACTTAAAGGGAAAAATGCAGCTTTACGCAGATGATATTGCAATTGCTTATGGTGAAAGTTCACTTGATTCATTGAAATCTGCGATCACAAATGACATCAAAGTTTTAAAACATTTTTTTAATCTTCTAGCTTTAGACATTAATTTCACCAAAACAAGTTATGTACAATTTCATGGGAGAAAAAAGCTTGAATTTTTCACCCAACATTCTATGAACATTGAGATATCTCATCAAAAGATTGAAAGAGTCGAAAGCTACAAATATTTGGGTTTAATAATAGATGAACAATTAACTTTTGAGAATCACATTAGCTTCATAAAAAGTAAAATACTTCCCATGACTTATGCTATACGTAGAATTCGGCACTCAATTGGCCTAAATATTGCGTATCAACTTTACTTTACAAATATTTACTCCCACTTAATTTTTATGAATCCTTTATGGAGTGTTGCAACTTTGTCACTACAAAACTCGTTGTTTGTAATTCAAAAAAAATGTCTTCGCTTCATACAAATGAAACACAGATTGTCACCATCTCGTAGTCTTTTTTCTGAAAGAATCTTACCTTTACCGGTACTGAATGATTACCATCTTCTTATTTTAGCATTTAAAATTAAAAACAATTTACTAAAAAATAATATAGAAATCAACTATGTGAACGAAATACATAGATATGGGACGAGACAAGTGGGCAATTTCCATATAATAAAATATGAAACACGCTATGGGAAGGCAGATTTTTATAGAAGAGGACTGATTAAGTTTAACGAGATGCCTAATGAACTAAAGAGACTGAGATCGTTAACTTTGTTTAAAAAGCACTTGAGAGAATACCTTTTCGAAACTTTCGAGTCAGAAAATGAGCTTGCATAAGAAATTTAAGAGTTGAACTTATAAGCATAAAATTCTTTTTTTTTCAAAGCTTTTCTTATGTTACATTTATATACATACATTAATATTATTTTTTTTTCTTTTTGCAATTCCTGTTCCATGGAATATTAATTTGTCAATGTAGGATATATCACAAGCAATATTGTGCTCAAAATATATCCAAGAATAATGAAATAAAGGAATTAAAAAAAAAAAAAAAAAATGAAAATTAAGATTTAAAAAAAAGGGAAATTGAAAAAGCGAATTAAAGCTTTTCCGCAATAAATTTCGAGGTGCTTAGATGATTTCCACACGAAAGCAGTCTGATAAGTTTTCGATCACGCTAGTGAACACAACAACAGTTGAAACTAGAGCAAATAATTCTTTATTGTTTGTCGCATGATAGTTGCAATAAAACTGCGAAACAATTTTCCCATGCCAATCATGACGGAAGAACAAAATTAGCAAAGTGTTAGTCTTCGTCGACTCAACACGTATTTTTCTTAGTAGAATGACTTTTTCTCGTTATCTAATTAGAGTAATTAGTGATGGTCTATTTGGTGCCGTCAGCAAAACAAGAGCGAGGAGAAAGATAAAATCATGTTTCACAACTAAACTTTCAGATGAATTCTACTCAAATTCAAGAGAAATTCAACTGAATAATTGTTAATATCTCTTACTGACAAATACTTTATGTAGTGATAATTGAGTGTATACTGGAGAAATGAGATATAAAAACGACTTTAGTCTTTCAATTTAGAAATCTATCTGAAGAAGTAAAAACCACTTACTTACCAGCTTACCATAAGTGCACAAATGTGTGCTTTTACTTAAGCAATTGTAAAGTAATAGAATAGAACGAACAGCTATATTGCAACTTGTAACTAAGTATGCTAAACATCTAATGGTAAAAAGAGATAAAAAAGATCTTCTTCGGCAAAGCAGCTCTGCAAGATGAGATAACTTTTGAGTGTATGCTTTTAATAAACTAGTGCAAATGCAGCTAATAATGAGAGGGAGAAACTAAAGGATGCTACAGCGTGAAAAGTGCACTCGACCTGATAACGTATATAAAATGGTGAAACTATAACGCTATTACTTCAGTTTTGTTTCACTCGTCTACTGTTCTCGATCAATTTTTTAAAAAATCAAATTAAAAAGCTGCATTAAAAAAGATTGTTCTACTTCTTTCAAATTATTTATTAAAGTGATTAGAATTGCAAAAGATAAAAAAATGAAATTAGTGTATTCATTGACCTTCTTGTTCGTGATTTCATCTGCTTTCGGTCATAGTGCACATCTTAATCGAGTTGAAGATGATGACACTCAGCCTAGGAAAGCATCATCATATTTTGGCGATATCAAATACTTATACAAGACTTATCAAGATTGCGCCGCATCCGACTTATCAACATGTCTTAAGTTGAAGCTTTATTCTGTTGTTGATCGCATTGCACGATCAGATAACGACCTTAAAGTATACGAAGGCGTTACGTTTGTAAAGGATGTCGATGAAGAACGTGATGAAGAAACTGTGCCAAAGACTGAAGTCGAAATTGAAGCTTCATTGCCACGCTCTCTCGAGGATAAAGAACAAACTTTAAATACATTGATTATGGATAAAATCATGTCATATTTCGGATCACATACATTGAAGGTGAGATTTCACTTAGATAAACTATAAAGGATGTCGTTAAATTTTATATTTTAATGACATTTTTATGTCACAGGTTAAATTCCCATCAGCTGAAGAGATGAAACGTTCATTCGAAGAAGCTCGTCAAAAGCTCGGAAAAGACAAGAAAGGCGGAAGTCTCATTATGATTCCATTACTCCTTGGAAGCACTTTAATTCCACTTGCTTTTGGTGCTCTTGCCTTGCTCGCTGGTAAAGCTTTAATCGTCTCTAAACTTGCATTGGCTTTGGCTTCAATCATTGGAATCAAGAAATTGATCTCCAGTGGACATCATCATGAAGCGGCACATGAAGTCGTTGTCAGTGGTGGCAGTGGACACTCAGGTGGATGGGGACGTAGCCAAGACTTAAAAGATCTACCATACAAAGGCCAACAATAAACGAAACTCATGACAAAACATATACCTCATATCACAATCTCAAACTCTCTGGATGTAAACTTAAAACTTATTCTCCTAATACCAATGACTGAAAAGCTTTTAAATAAGTTTTTAAAAGCTCTGCTTTATCTCGAAGACTTCTTTACTTAATTTTTTAAACGTTTTTCGTTACCTCTCTGGGATCAACTGATTATTGTTTTTACATTTAGATAAGTTAATATAATTTATTTAATTTATTGTTCAAGGATCCATGTCGCAATTTTCCTTCTTCAATGGAATCAAAAGAAGATATTTTAGTAAATAAAATGCAATAATCGTATTTGTAAATATGATTGATAGTTAAATATTTTGTGTTTATTGTCTTTCGTTATTATTACAGAGTATGAAGTATTAAACTTCGTCTAATTCCAACTTGTTTTGCAAACAAGGTAAGAAGTGCAACAACTTTGTAAATATGGTACACAGTCACAACAACTGGGCGTTCCATTTAGCGATCGAAAGTAGTTTAGTAGTATCACATTGCATTCACTGCACCTAGCGCATGATTTAGATCGAGAAGAAATGCAACATCAAAAGTGAACCAGACTAAAATGAAATGCACTCAGCATGCAAAGATATTATTGTGCTAATTTGCTGAAGACTTGTTCGAACGTTCATCGATGAGAAATTCTTTTTATATTTTATAAATTCATTTGACGTTCAAATAATGAAATTAACAAAGAGAAATTACCTGATTTATGATTCTTCAGATTTCTTTTTACGACAAGGTCTGAAATTGATTTCACAGAGTTTCTGATACAGAACTGTGTTTAAATATGAATGATGAGGTGATTCAAGCATGAAATATAATTATTTATCTTGCATATTGAAATCAGTTCCCTCTTGCGATTGTTTATGAGAAAGAAGAATTTTCCTCTAAGGTAGAAATTTAATATCATCATTTGAATTTGAAAGAATTTCTTAAAAACATTTGTTGCGCTTAAACGATCCAAATGGAATTTCTTCATCACCTGACTTAAAGGCACAAAATTTCACAAGTTTTTCATGTTTAGATGATTGAAGAAAGTTTATTAAACATGATATTAAGAGGTATCCAGTTAATAATGAAAGCTGGCAGAATTAAATGTGATTCTAGATTATCTCGTAGCGACAAAATGTAAGCAATCTCGATATCAATTCGATTCCCCTACAAAAAAGGTAAACACTAACGTGAAACTTTTTTTTGCTCCATTTTTTCCATTTAATTCACTCCATTTATCTCAATCTGCAGTTCATGACAGATTTATCGACGACATAAAACATTTTGCAGTCACTTTGTGGTTTAACTGACTTCCTATGGGAGGAAAACTCAAACGTCGGTAAAAGGCACTCCGAGGGTGGTTTTATCATAAGCAGAGAATTGAAGCAAACTTGATGAAATGTTTAAATAAGATTTTATTTTTGTGAGATAAACTCATGTCCGTGCAGATGATTTCATTTTTACTTAAAGCGTGCGTTGTGAAGCTAATAAAAAAAAACATTTGAGATGACTAAGCTTCGTTCTACTTTTAGATGTCGCATTATCCGATTTCTCGGGATATTTTCACTCGAAGGAAGTCATCCGAAAATTGTTGATATGTAGCTTAATGACATTTGTTATTGAAAGTGATACAAAGTTTGTCCACATTTCTAGATATTTTCTTTCTCTCCAGTTTTCTAACGGATGTCATTGATTAAAGTAAGTTAGTAAGTAGAGATCCAAACAACATCTCGAATTCGGAATGAAAAGAAATGAAATTTTCCTTTGAATTCTTAACATGATATGTTCGCGTTAGAAAATCTGAAAATCTCTTGCTTGCTCACATAAATACTTTTTTATTGTAGGAAACTCTCATTAATCAATGAAAGTCATTAACACGTCTCGCTTGAAATTGAAGTAGATACTTTACACGTGAAATTTTTCTTTAAAATTTCTCTTCTCAACATTGATGAAATGAAACTGATATTAATTAAAAAGTGGTGTATTAGATGAGTTTATTTCACTCATCCATTAAGGAAGGGAAAACGAGAAAAGCGTCATCCCACCAATTAGCTAAATGCTTTGATATTTTTCTCCCTCTTTAACGATAGCACTAATCGAAATCATTCCACAACTCTCCACGCACGTTGCTGTCTTTGGAAGTGAGCTGTAATAAAACTTCTTTTGGTAAAGAGATATCGAGTATTATCGGACGAGAACAAGAGTAATTGTGATTGTGCTTTAAAGTAAACACATGTAAGAGATATGCACAAACACAGTGGGGTTCTTCTTCTATACTCTTCTCCAACTTACAACAAGCACCATACATGAGCTGTGTACGTTATGCCTAAAGAGAACAAGAAGTATAATATCATACTACTTACACTTAACTTTTTACTTATTTTATTTGTAACATTTGTTTAAATATTCTTTTCTCGCTTTAAGACATGAAGAGAAGTCTCATGGTTTAATAAAAACCACCACAATTCAAACATTTTTAACATCAAAGATTGAATAAAACGCGAGCAACGTCGTCAGCTAAGTCACAGTTCACCGGATTCTTTCTGACCAAGAAGTTGATACGAGGAAATATATTAAACGTTGTGACGTGATAACAAATTATCTGTTAATTTCAAAATCAAAAGAAAATAACGAAAAACGGAAAAAAGAAGATCAAAATGAAGCAGTTTTGTGTGTTTTTAATTCTTATTGTTGCTGCATCAGCTACATCTGAAAGTGATGGTTTAATAAGCACCGCATTAAAGTTTATGAAAGATTGCAATGAAAAATCAATTACATTGTGTATTAAGGTGAGATAACGACAGTGTTTATCACACATGAATTGAGATTAATTGTTGATCAGTGGATTGATAAGAGAAAAATCATCGAAAACTTTTATTTCTTATTAGGAGCGCGCTCTTCAATTAGTTGACAAAACTGAAGGTGACTTTGAAGTCACAGAAGGAATAAAATTAGTGCAAACTGAAGAGACATCTCAAGGCCGCTCATTAAACGATGTTCAATTGTCAGACGATCAGGAGACACGCGAACAAGAAGTTGAATCACTTTTGGTTGATCGTGTTGCTCGTTTCCTCGAATCTCACACAATCCAATTTAAAGTACCGAAAGATTCCATCAAAGATGTTCAACGATCTTTCGATGAAGGTAAGAAATCTTCAACGAAAAAAAAAAACAACAAAAGTAGTTAAAGAAAGAAGTACATAAATTTAATACACAAAAAAAACAGTAGTTCCGTTGCTAAACTTTCAACTCATTACGGTGCATAAACCTCACGTGCGCATTTACTTTCAAAGACGATTATTTTATTTGCTTTTTTTTATAGCTTCTTAACTGTTAGTTAAGTACTCATCTTTATCTTTCCTTTTTTATTTTCAATTTACAGCTCGCAAAGGTACAAAGAAAAGCAAGAAGTACTTGTTGCCTCTTCTTTTGTTGTTTAAATTGAAAGCTGCTGCCCTCTTGCCACTTGCCCTCGGATTCCTCGCTTTGATCTCATTCAAGGCATTAGTCATTGGAAAATTGGCATTACTCTTGTCAGGAATAATCGGTTTAAAGAAACTTTTGGAACATAAACACTCATCATCTTATGAAGTTGTTGCTCATCCATCACATCACTCATATTCATATGATGAAGCTCATGGCGCTTACCGAAGATCGATTGATGCTCAAAAGTTAGCCTACGCAGCACAAAAGAATTAAGCAAAACAACAATACTTAACTCAATCAGTCTATTTTACTCCATCAGAATGATTCTGTCACATTCGCTTCTCTGCTTTTGCACTTCACATCACAAGGATTCCTTCTCAAAACGAAAAGGAATAAATTAAAGTCAGATGGGGAGCAAAAAGCATAAGAAAACTTTTGAGACATTTGATTCTGACGAAGTGAATTCAATCAAGATAAAGACGTTACATGCCATTGCAATAAGACAGACAAATGATAAACCGACATAAAACAAACCCCCGAAACATTCATTTTTCGCGCTCTCTGAAAGGTTATTCATGAGAATTCATTAATTTATTTAAATTATTTATTTGAAGAGAAACGTTAAGTTAATAATTTAATTAAGCATGATTTTTGATGTTGTGCTTTAATTTCTGTTTCTTTCTTCTTTTCTCAGATGTTTTCACACTCTGATTATGCCAATGAGACTTAGAAATCAATTTCTTCAACATAACAAGTAGATGAGATTTTAATTATGATTTTATGTTGTCACTCTTAGCAACATAAATTGTCATTCACTTCCTTCACATGTTTCACTCGTAAGCTTTACACTACCAAATATCATCTTTCTTAAGATTATTTTCTTACCAAAAATCTTTGAGCTTCCAAAAAGTTAAAAGTTAGTTTAATCTTTAAAATTACTTTCACTGACCCGCTACATATTTGAGCTGAGAAGACGAAGTAACTTCACTTGATCGTATTTAAGAAAGAAAGAGATAGAGAGAGAGAAGGAGTATTCTGGATAATTTCCCAGAATATTTATCTGTCATTCGATTAAACGGATTTTCGAAAGAAGAATGTTCGACTGAAAATAAAAACTCGATTATTAAGTTGGCTTTCCTAACGGTACAAGTTGAAAGATAATGTTGATATACACATTTCTCGTCGGGAATTATTTTAGGTCAGTCTCTCTTCCCCATCTACATTTTACCACACTTCTGTCACACATTTCAATAATGTATAATTAATAAGCAGATCAGGTATTTTATACACGCTTTTCTTCTTTACTTCTTCTTCTTCTCCATAACTTGCGATCCAATCAATCGGCCTATTCTCAATCTCGCTGTATTGGATGCAGATTGCATATTGTTATTTTTTTCCTTGTTGTTTTAATTTTTAACTGCCTTGGAACACTTATTTTTATTGCACTTACTTTCTATCTCTTTTGATCGCTTCGTTTACCGCGAACTCGTCGCATTCGCTTCACTTTTTTTAGTTGTTAACTTTCGTTGCTCAAGAAGAAGAAAAAGTTGAAAATTTTGAAAAAAAAAGTATGAAAAAATGTAATAAAGCAAGAATTGAAAAAATTAATCATTTTGGAATTTTTATTCTCTTCTTTACAGTAAAATTGAAGATATTGAATTGTCTTCACAGCAGCAGACGTTATAATTTATTCACTTGATACGATATACAACAACGGTTCATCAGTCTTAAATGTTATGGAATTAAATCCAATTCACGTTTATGGCTTCGAATTATTTGCTATGAATGGTAAAAGGTATCGGCAGCAGCACCATAAGCAATTTCATTCAATTGCCTATAAACCTTATGTTGCGCTGGGAAAATGATGATCGTATACGCACAATTGCTGCAAATAAAAAAAAGAAACTGCGAAAAATGCCTGCGAGAAGAAATTTTACTTTACATATTAATGATTTTTCTCAGCACTAGTTTTACCGTTTTCTCGCGGACTTAAAGTGAAAACGTCGTGTGGTCAGTATTGGCATGATGGGTGGAGAGAAAGTTTCTTCAACATGTCATACATAATACTCACTCTACTTATTCACTTCGAAGTATTTCAAAGTAATATTTAATTTTAAATGAATAAAAGAGATATCAACAGTTTTCCCTTTTATAAGATGAGACATCATACGCAGTGTTTAGTCAGAGCAGAAGTGCTGGAAATCCGGAAACTTTCTACTCAACGTTCCATCGATTCTTTCATTTTCACTTCGTTTTCTTATTTTATATAAAATTCTTGAAGTGGAGGATGTAAACAAGAAAGTGAAAAAATTGATAATGTACGACGTCTTTAATGATATATTTTGTTGATACGCTGTAGTGAGTTTTTTAACTCGATTGTCAAAAAAAAACTTGTACCAGTTGAACAAACATGAACATCCCACTTAAATACATCAATCCCATCTCTTCTTATTCTCAATAAGTACATACACTTAATTCGAATAAGTATATCCGTGTGATTGATTGCCATTTCACTTCCCAAAATGCTTCACTTGCTGCGCTGATAATGTGAATGAAGCTTCTTCTTCTTATTTTGCATAAAAGCAATCAAGTGTTAACGTTTGTGATTATTTAAATATATGCACATATCCTAACTGAAGATTAGTAGATAGGAATTTTTCTTATATTGAAATTACTTCAATAGACGCGTCCAAAAGATTAACATCCAATATATTGATGAAGATGATCGGATTAGTTACATATAAGCAATTTCCCTTATTAGGTTGACCTTTATCTTATTCTCAAAAGTAATTAACTTAATAGCAAATTGAATAAGTCTAAAGGTCGAGTGCTAATAAATTTACAGTATGTTATCAGATAAACCAGTTCTGTTGGTATTTTATGTGATGAAAGGAAACACAATATGCTTACATTTAGAAAAATGTTATTGTTTCATTTCGTCGCTACAAGATGAGAATAATATTTTTGATCCAATAGCATTCTGATGACTGACAACTAAAGCGTTGACTGATTTGCATTTAAATGAAAGTTTGTCTTCTTAAGGCGAATAAACAAGCTTCTCGTCATTAGCATTTAACTTTAGTATTCCTAATTTATTTACTGTACCAATTCTTGTCATGTTTCTTTACAGTTAACAAGTTAATTGGGACAACGAGTGTCTTGAGTAAAGTCTGTGGTGCTTGATTGAATTAAAAAACTTTAAGCAAGAAGAGAAAAAATTTATCTACAAATTTAACCGTTAAGTTAACTAACGAAGTAATGACGCATTTCCATCATCGTCATCACCATCATTAACTTAAAGTTTTCTCACTTGGCTTTTGTACAATACCGAATCAAAAGCTTCGGAGCGTGGCATTTTGAGAAACAAAAGGCTATTATTAACTTAATTATTCGCAAGAAAATAAAAACATTAAAAGAAAGCGAAATTGAATCCCAAGTTCTCGACCACTGAAAACCTTTTTGTATTTGTTTCTTCTGCTCTGCTTCGCTATTCTTCGACATCAGATTTCTTAATGCGAAAAAAAGTGACCATGAATGTTGTCTGGATCAACTTCCTTTTGGGAAATGCAAAACAAAGAGAATTAAACTTTCTCTGTTTGCGAAATACTAATGAAATAATGAAAAAGTAAAATAAGCAACAGATTTAATCAAATTTGTTCATAGCTTGCGAGAGGAAGTGTCGTTATTAATGTATATTTGTGATTTCGTAACACACAATGGAAATGAAATTCGTCATTAAGCTCTGGGAAAAATTTAATGAAAAGACTGTTCAGTCAAATGAATCGTTACTATATATTTCAGAGTTTACCCTTAAACCTCTTCAGTCGTAATGCTGAACCAAACGAATTGTACATGTTGTTAAAAGTACGCGCCTTTATAAGAAAATTCCTTGATATTAAAAAAAAACAAGAGAAAAGAAAATTTCTCGAGGAAAATATGTTGTGTAATAAATGTGACGATCGTGAAAAATGTTTCGAAAAATTCTAACAATTTTCATCATTTTGCCGTGCGCAATAAATTCCTTCCAAAGCCATTTTACGTTCACTAATGGGTTTGGTCACTGTCTAAAACAGGACAAACCAAATCTAATAACATGTGCTGGACAACAAGCTCTCGAAGCACTTCAACATATTAGCAGCATCAGCAACTTTACGCTTACTGAAGGCGTGATTTTTTCAAAGGATGAAACATTAATGGGACGCAGTTCTCCCATTAACTTCCTAGATCAAGATCCCAATGATTTCCGGTAAGATTTAAACATAATAGATTAGCGGTTCATTAAACAAAAATGTTGGATATTTAAACATGAATTATTCAGAAGGAAGTTAAGGAAGTAAATGTCTCAAAGGAAATATCAAAACGAGAGCTTTCATGAATCTTTTAAATTGCTTCCTGAAATCTTAATAATATTTCAAAGTCATTTCTTTAATTTTTAAGCCTTTGTTTCATTTAATTACTGAATAATCATCATCAGTGAAGCTTTAAGTAATTTCCATAGAAAGAAAAGGTTAATCAATGGATGAAATCTAAAATAAATATTAACTAAGTATTATNCAGAAGGAAGTTAAGTAAGTAAATGTCTCAAAGGAAATATCAAAACGAGAGCTTTCATGAATCTTTTAAATTGCTTCCTGAAATCTTAATAATTTTTTAGTCAATTACTAAACAATTCATCATCAGTGAAGCTTTAAGAAATTTCCATAGAAAGAAAAGGTTAATCAATGGATGAAATCTAAAATAAATATTAACTAAGTATTATTAAAAAGATGAGACTCTTTTGCGGTTCGACATTTGAATTAATTAAATGTAAAATTATTCTGTTTTAATGAAAGTTTGATGTTTCAGATCCCTTCTTGAGAATGCTGGAGCAGTAATGAGTG